CTTCTGAGGATCGTAACAGCCTTTTTATAGTCCCTCTACACCCTTCTGGAAGCTTCTAATAGGTCAGCTGACTTCCAGAAGTCACTCAACACCACTAGTGCAGAGGGGGACTTAAAAACTTCCTAATCTTCCAGAAGCGTCTCCACTAGTCAGGGGTCAGTGAGGGAAACTTGAAATTCACTGGTCTTCTAGAAGTCTCCTTACTGGTCTCAGGCATGGGGGGGGAAATTGAAACTTGCTGACCTTCTAGGAGTCTCCCCACTTGTTATATACCCAGTGGGAGGACTTAAAACCTACTCCTGCCACAGTCCCATAGGGAAAGGGGGGCTTAATACTAGAATCCCCTTTTCCCTCTTTATTCTGTTAGGAATGAACCTGCAGAAAGTGGAGACCAGTGGCTATACCCAGTTCTTAGTGAAAGAGAAATCAAGTGGTCCAGAGCACAGAGCACAAAATCATCGCTGGTGTAACAAGCCAAGACCACCTACAAGTGGCAGTAGAGATCTCACCAGACAGCATGAATATGTGTGGATAGCAGGGGCGGACTGACCATTTGGAAACTCGGGCACTGCCCGAGGGCCCAGGGTCAGTAGGGGGCCCCATGAGATGCCTCTGGTACCTTTTTCATAGGCTTTTTTGAGTTTAGGCAAGGACACAGGGGCCCCATGATCCCCTATTACCCGGGGGCCCTATGAGTTGTCAGTCCGCCCTTGGTGGATAGTCATGCTCCAGCCTGTGGGAAATCCAAGTTCAAGACCTTAAAGACTCAGTTCCTGACATAGGACCACACATTGCAGTCATTAAGAATTATAGTGTGATTTCTAAGCAAAATAGGATTTTTGATGAATATAAAAGCACTAAGCTTTTCAGCAATTAAATAGTGAAAAGACATAAAAATGTGTTCAGACAAGGGATGTATTAAAAATACAAAAATTAAATCAATTGGTATTTAATGCTTGGGTGCACAGATGGGATTTGAAGGGCCTTTTGAATCTGTGGAGGATGCCATTTTAACTGTGCCAGAAAAAAAATTTTCCCTAGTGTAAGCCACAAATAATTTTAAATTGACTCAAAGCATATTTAATATATTTTACAAAGACATTGTAAGATTGGTTGTTCTTAAAAAACTGACCAAATCTTGTCATTAACATGCACAATATCTCCCTGGCAGCTAAAATTGGGTGTTATTTGCCAAAAGAACAGCATGTAGGATTATAGGAACTAATTTTAATTTGTATGTAAACAAATCTGAACAATTTGCATGCATGTGGCATGATAGTAATAGTTATAATTCACTATGAAAAGGCTATAAGTACATTATCTACCAAAATTTTTAGATTGAAGTAAAAATAGATACATATTCATATTAATTTAGAAATCCTCTATATTAGCCTTTCCCCTCGGCTTACACATACAATACAACCAAAGCATTCCTCAATAGCAGTCTTATTACATCAGTTAGGATTCAAAGTCTCAGTGTCCTGCGTTTAATATCTTTTACTGTAGTTCCAAGCTTTTTCCTCATATGTAATACCCAGGCCCGGACTGGGACAAAAAATAGGCTTGGGCATTTTAGACTGAGCAGTCCATTAAAAAACAAAACAAAAACAAATGACAAATAATAATTATCATTAGACATTAGAACATTAAAGGTTTGTATATCAGGAGATCCTGTTTATCCATACACTGGTTGCTAGGAAAATGCTTTTGCAATAAATCCAGTGGATATTTGAACAATCAATGTGTGAAAAATGGTCACTTATTGATCTGGCTAGCTAAGAGGCAATTTGCTACAGTTAGTGTAGCTAGAATGGACTCAGAGGTCATTCTCTTAACTATCCCTATTTCTATAAATTATTAATTTTGCCTCCTTTTACAAACCTCTATTTACTTCCAAGGCTAATTATAGCACCAATTAGTTGCCAGGCAATTAGATTCTGTTGATTTTCCTTCCCTTGCCCCTCAACCATAGACAACACAAGGCCCAAACTACCATAGAGGAAGCACAACATGCCATAACCTCTTTTCATTCTGGGAAGACCTCTGGGTTGAAGGTCTGCTGACCGAAGACCTACATTGATAGTGTTTCAGTGTCAAAGGTGATTATCATTGTAGTTTATAAGCTCAGTAAGAGCTCTGATCTTCATATTAAGTGATATCACTTTAGAATGTTGATGCTAAGATACTTGCAAATATCCTGACTGTATGGCTGAATAAGGTTGTCCTCACACTGATCCATGGATTAGTTGGGTTTTATGGCAGTTAAAGGATAAGTTTTTTTTTTTCTAAATTCTATCTCCCCTATGTACCAATATAGCATTAATGTACTTCTTTTGTAGAAATTCAAAAGTGTGTCTAGATGGCTGTCCAAAAAGCTTATCCATTAATTCTACCTTATTTTCTGCAGAGCCTTTAGGTCATGACACAGGAAGGAGTTGGCCAGCTGACCTTATTAGCACACACCCTGCACCATCTACCCTACTACCTACCACCCACTTCCAGGTGCACGAATATTAAATAAAAAGCAATCATCAGCGATCACTGTTCTCACTAAACACACAGAAGTAATTTTTTTTTTCTTCCTTAACTTTTATCTTGCATATATCATTCATTTGGCAGTATGTGCTCAGTGAACAGATAACAGCCTATGTGGATAGAGCTGTAGTATTGAAAACAGGAAACTTGTGTTCTGGGTTCTGTAAAGTTCACATACACTTGTGGTGGTTTATGATAAAATTTATTCTAAATAATTAGGGTGATGTCCTCTCCTTTAAACAAAATATTGCAGTGCCACCAGTCGTTAAAATACGGCAAATATTTAATAAACCAATAATTTGGACACCTTAATAATTTGATCACCACTTAATAATATTCCTTGAGTTCTTTTCACCAATGTTAATTTGTTACCATAGACACATAATTTGCCTTTTTGATAAATAAATGTATTTATGTACAAATATTTATATATATATTAATACAAACATAAATTACTGGTGATGAATATATTCATACACACAATTAAAGATATAGTACGCTAATTTCTAAGGTATAACACAATATATGTTTATCAAATGATGTAAAACAAATTTTAGAGGGGTTAGTTGCAACTTAGAGTGCTTCAGATAATATTTCCAATTTCCCACGGTCGTAGGGAAATAAGAAAGTATCTCTGATAATTAGCACCACAAAAACACTACAAATCAGTTAGTATACAGTATATGATCTCGGAACCAATACTCAAACAGTTACATTAATAATTATTCAGATAACCTTAGTACATTATCCTAACCACACAATAAAAATGTTGTAAATCTTAATAAGTTTGAAATATAAAAGAAAATTATAGTATTTTGTCACAGTCTCACCACTCCCAGAGGGCTACAGTTGGGAAAAGAAAATGTTTCTGGTCAGTCAAGCACCAGAATTTAAATCAGCAGCAGAGTCTGATGAAAGTCTTTTCCTTCAAAATGGCCTTCAAAAATAAAATGGCAGCTGAAAGTTTTCAGCAAGATGGCCACAGATATCAGGAAGCAAGTGAGTATAGTGAAGTGAAGTATATAGTAGTAGTAGAGTAGTTAAGAAGTCCAGTAGTATAGTCAAGTCAAGTAGCTGAGTGATGAAGTAGTATATGAAGTAATGATAAAGTGGTTCTTAATTTGGGATGTGTGGCATTTTTATACCATACAAGTCCTTTGTTCCGAATGACCTCCCAACGGGCTTGTTGATTGGACGGTTAAGAAGTTTGTGTAACTTAGAAGTTTCTTACCTGTCCACTGGGGACAGTCAGGTATCACAAATGAACTGTGATCTTTAACTGCTTGCCGTTCAGCCACTGTAGAAAACCGTCCACAAGGTGGCACCGCTGAGCAAAATCACGTTTTAAACCGTCATTTTGCAAAACAGGTAGGGGGCACGTGCGAGGCATGTGCCCGCCCTACCGGTCCCACCAATCGCAGCAGCGGGTGTCAATCACCGGGTCCTGGCTGATCATTACCCACTGAGTCCCGGAGATTGCCGGCAAACAGTGACACAGAGCACAGCTGCACTGTTTACAATGCAGCTCTACTCCCTGTCAGCTCCTAACAGGCTGATCCTGAGAGCGGAGTTTATCTCTTGGGATCAGCGTGTTCCTGTGAAGCACACACCCCCACCCCCTAGTAAAACACCCCCCTCACACAGTTAACCCTTTCATTGCCTAAAAAAAGTTAACCCCTTCCTCCCCAGTGCCATTAGTACAGTGTCAGTGTTTGTTGTTTGCACTGATCACTGTATTGGTGTCACTGGGGATGTCAGTCACCCCAAGTCAGTTCCCCCCCAGTGTCAAAATGTCTGCTGCAGTCCCGCCATAAGTCGCTGATCACTGTCATAAATCGCTGATCACCGCCATAAGTTGCTGATTGCCGCCATTATTAGTATAGAAAAAAATCCCAGTATCTTTCCCGCCATTTGTAGATGCTATAACTTTCACGTAAACCAATTTAATTTACACGTATTGGGATTTTATTTAGCAAAGACATGTCGCAGAATACATTTTGGCCAAAAATTACGATGAAATTTGATTTTTAAATTTTTTTACTGGACATGTTTTATAGCAAAAAGTCCAAAATATTGTGGTTTTTTTTCTCAAAATTGTCAGCCTTTTTTTTTAATAGCGCAAAAAATAAAAACGCACAGGCGATCAAATACCACCGAAAGCTCAATTTGTGGGGAAAAAAAGGATGTAAATTTAATTTGGGCACAGTGTTGCATGACTGCGCATTTGTCAGTTAAAGTAACGCATCGACGTAACACAAACCGCTTCTGTAACCGCTTCCTGACCGCCCTATAGCAGAAATACTGCTACAGGGCAGTATGGATGCGCAATATCACATATATATATATATATGATTTACGCTCCAGTGGTTTTCACACCCCTCCCAGATAGCTTCAAATTGCCCGTCAGTACACCAGTCATCACATTTAACCCCTTGATTGCCAGGAGCACGCTCATGCACAATAAACCTCCATTGCTAGTATAGTGTCTGAACGGATCAATATCTTTGATCAGATCAGCACTATACCAGCGTTCACATTAGTATAGCATCCCCAAAAATGCAGCGTTAGCAGGATCAGCCTCGACACCTGCCAGCACCTGGGATTAGCCCCTATGCTTACCCCCCCTTCTCCCCCAGCAAGTGCAGTGTCAGTAGCAGGAGCGGACTGACAACTCATGGGGCCCCCGGGCAATAGGGGATCATGGGGCCCCTGTGTCCTCACCCACACTCAAAAAAGCCTATGAAAAATGTACCAGGGGCATCTCATGGGGCCCCTACTGACCCCGGGCCCTCGGGCAGTGCCAAGTTTCCAAATGGTCAGTCGGTCACTGTCACTTGATACATTGCACACAAAACCGCAGTGTTCGCAGAATCAGGCCTGATCTCTGTTAGCACTTGCCAGTAAATTTTGATGACTTTCATATGCAGCAGAGTTCCAGTACTAGTGCCTCTCTACCTTTTGGTGAACTGGCAAGTATCAGCGGTCTAGTACATCTTGGTCTTTCACATACCTCTTAGATTGTAAACTCCAAGGGGCAGGGCCCTCCTAACCCTCTTGTATTGATTTTTGGAGCTGTTTTTCACGTAATATCTATATGCGTTGATTGTGGATCAAAGCAATTTATATGCACAACAATTTATCGCCGCCATCCAAATTCAAACCTTGCCAGACCAGTCGCATGGAAACTCATTACGGTTTCCAAATTTACATTTTTTTGGGCCTAACCCTCAACATGGGCATTACTAAAAGAAATGAATTGCAGTTGTATTGGTCCGCAGACCCGATTCTTCATATGCTGTGTTCTCTGCTGCCATGGACAGGCATAGATATGAGAGTATAATGTGTTTTATTTCAAAAACAATAAACTCTGTCAGCATCGGGGTGACCCTGAATTTGACCACCTCCACAAAATTCAGCCCCTCGCAAATCACCTTAACCAAAAATTTTCAGATGTCTATACTCCCCAGCAAAAAATCTACGTTGATGAGTTCCTGATTAATTTTTTCTGACCGCCTTGCATTCAGACAATTTCTCCCCAGCAAGCGTGCCAGATATGGGGTCAAGATGTAGAAGACCTTTGAGAGGACAACAGGCTATACTATAAGTTTGGGATTTACGAGGGAATAGATAGTCACGTGGAGCCCCCCGGATGCCCAGACTACATGGGGAGCAGTGACAAGATAGTTTGAGACTTGGCGTCATCCTTTTTCTATATGGGGTACCACTTATACGTGGACAATTTTTATTCAAGCGTGCCACTATTTAGACATTTGTACAATCTTGGAACTGGTGCATGTGGCAAAGTGTGACCTAATGTGTGCCCACCATTAGAAGTGGGTGGATGCAGGGCGGTATATTCTAATGGTGGGCATACCGCACACTCAGTCCACAGGCTGCATACAAAAAAAAAGAACATAGCATATACACCCAACAAGGACCAGCGATGTACTGGTACATCACTGGACTTTGGTTATACCGGGGTGATGCCTACAACTGCAGGCATCATCCTGGTATTGTTTTTTTCAGCCGGCGATCGGCTTTCATGTAAAAGCAATCCTAGTGGCTAATTAGCTGCAGGATTGCTTTTACAAGCTGTGGAATATGATGCCCCCCCTCCCCTGCTGCCTTCCACGGCCTTCTCAGGCAGTCCCGTGCCATCGGGGAAACCTGAGAATGCAGCCAGTGTTTCTGCCAGCTGATCATAGAGCAGATTGGAGACCAGAGTGATACCAATCATCTCTATAGTCTAAGAATTCGGAAGCTACGAGCATTTCATCACTTCAGTTTCGCAGGATATAAACAGCACCATTTGTAAATTGGGAAAGCATCTGATCCCACCGATCTTGGTTTGATTAGATAATGTAAGGGCAGAGGAGATATCTAGAGCCTGATAGACCCCAGATTTCTCAAAAAAGAATATATGATAATGCCCATTGAAGTTATAGGGGATATTTGCATTCCCTGTGATAGCATTAAAAGTGATCAAAAATAAAAATGAAAGCTACAGTGTAAAAAAAATAATAAAAAAAAATCAAAATAAAAAAAAAAACTTGCCCCTCCCATGCACGCACACCTGTGTGCACAAGCATTGACCCTGTGCCGGTATGTAAACAGCGGTTGCACCATACATGTGAGGTATTGCCATGAACGTCAGATCAAGGGAAGTAATTCTAACACACTAGGCCTCCTCTGTAAATCTAAAATGGTAGCTTTTAAAGGCTTTTAAAGTGTTGCTTATGGATATTAAAAATGTATGCAGTTTGTCGCCATTGCACAGGGCATGCACAGTTTTAAAGCATGTCATGTTTGGTATCTATATACTCGGCATACCATCAGTCTTTTATATCTTACCAAATAATTGGCCAATATATTGTGTTTTTCTGCATTAAAAGTAAAAAAGTGTATTAGTATAAAAAAAAATTGCTTTTGAAAAATCGCTGCGCGAGTACTATGTGCCATTAAAAAATTGTAGTACCCACCATTTTATTCACTAGGGTGTCTGCTTTAAAAAAATGTATAATGTTGGGGGTTTAAATTAATTTCCTAGCAAAAAATACAGATTTTTTTCATGTGAACAAAAAGTGTCAGAAAAGGCTTGATCTACAGGTGATTAGAAGAGTGAGTGATGTGTGGCATACACTTCTAATGCTGGGCATAAAACGCCCCCATCCCCCAAAATGACCCTTTTTGGAAAGTAGACACCTCAAACTATTTGCTGAGAGGCATGTTGAATCAATAGAAGAATTTATTTTTTTACCACAAGTTTTTGGAAAATGACAAAAAAAAGTATTTATTTTTTTTTTACACAAAATTGTCACTTAAATGATTTACTGCTCACACATGCCATGGGTATATGTGGAATTACTCCCCAAAATACATTCTGCTACTTCTCCTGAGTATGGGGGTACCACATGTGAGAGACGTTTTAGCAGTCTAGCCAAGCACAGGTCCCCAAAATCCAATAGGCACCTTCAGGCTTTTAAAGGACTTTATTTCCAGACTACCTATCACAGTTTTGAAGGCCCTGAAATGCCAGGATAGCACCTAACCCCCCCCCAAATGACCCCTTTTTGAAAAGTAGACACCCAAAGAATTTGATAAGAAGCATGGTAAGTATTTTGCAGATCTCATTTGTCGCCACAAGTTTTTGTAAAATTAAGAAAAAAAACAAAACAACATATTTTTTCTATTTTTTCATATTTCAAAACCTTGAAAAAAAACCTGAGAAAAAATGAGATCTGCAAAATACTCACCATGCCTCTTTTAAAATTCCTTGGGGTGTCTACTTTCCAGAAAGGGGTCATCTGGGGAAGCTTGGTGCTATCCTGGCATATCAGGGCCTTTGAAACGGTGATAGGTATTGCAGAAGAGAAATGAGGAAGTTGCGCACCTTCAGGCTTTCAAAGTGGTCATTGGATTTAAGGCTCCTGTATGTGGCTAGGCTCTCAAAAAGTCTCACACATGTGGTATCCCCATACTCGGTAGAAGTAGCAGAATGTATTTTGGGGTGTAATTCCACATATACCCATGGCTTGTGCCAGAAATAAATCATTTAAATGACAATGTTGTGTAAAAAAAAAAATATACTGTATATATATTTTTGTCATTTTCCAGAAACTTGTGGGAAAAAAATAAATCTTACATGGACTCAATATGCCTCTCAGCAGATAGCTTTAGAGTGTCTACTTTCCAAAAAGGGGTCATTTGAGGGTGTTTGTAGTATCCTGGTATTTTAGCACCTCAAGAAATGTGATGGGCAGTCAAAAAGTAAAAGCTGTGTAAATTCCATTATCTATGCCATAGTTTGTAGACGCTATAACTTTCACACAAAGCAATAAATATACACTTACTGGGATGTTTTTTTTTTTTGTTCCACAAAGTTTATTGAGAAAAAACTCAAAGTATACAAATTGTACAAGGAAATACAATGAGCCAAAGAGAAACGCGGTGAAAAACAAATCGCAGATGACAAACAATAAGAAATACTCAGGTGAACAAAATGAGAAAGCCATCTCATGTCTCCTGTAACAATAATGAAGTTTAACTTTCCAAGTTCAAAAATTCCACCAAACGGGCAGGGTCATTTGTTTGCTCCCCCATATATCTTTTATCATAGAGTAGCAGAGTAGGGGGAAGGGGATAGGGTAAAGGTTCTGGGCTTCTGGTGAAGGGAAGGGGTTGCGAAGGTATAGAGAGCTCGGTGCTATCCATGAGGAGTAACAAAGGTACCACTTAGAGGTAGCCAACGTGTAGGGAAATAACTCCGTGGATTGGGAAAGGCACATGTGCAGGTGTAGTATGGGTGTGGGATTAGGTTGCCTATGGGCAGGGGAATAAGCGTATATGTAGGAGGAAAAAGGAAAAATGAAGTAGAGAAGATGTGGAAAAAAGGAAAGGCAGAAATGGTGGGCACAATGAGGAAGGAATCGGGAGGGGATAAGGAATGGTGAGGAGCTGGAGAGCCAAAGAGAGGGAAAAAAAGGAGTGTAGAAGAAAAGGGAGATAAAAAAAAAAAGAGGGGGGGGAATCAGGGGGGAGGAAACTAAGGGGGGCGGTGTAGATGGACATGAGATGTGGGTGGAAGCTGGACAGAAGGACAGAGCTGGTGTGCTCACCCCCAAGGGGGCAGAGACATGAATCAGACAATCGGGCGCCAGGGGAAAGGAGTGTCTCACTCTCCGATCGGTGAAGGGGATATAGTAGAAAAGTGTTATTGACAGCCTAGCAAGGGTCGAGGAGTTAATACAATAAAGAATGTAATATGTAGACACAGGTCTGGCTCAAAGTCAGGTAGAAAGACCCATGAGGGAATGGTATTCGGGGGTCGTTCGGAAGTAAATCCAACAAGACCAGATATGGGAAAATTTAGTCGGGTTATCTTGGGAGGAAGCAATCAGCTGCTCCATCTCCGCAATTCTTCCTAGACGAGTGAATCAATCTTGTATTGAGGGGGGATGAGTAGATCTCCATAGCACAGGTAGGCAGAGTCTAGCCGCGTTAATCATATGCATTGCTAATGATTGGAAGTATAGACGTTTGGGGAGCGGGGTATGGTGGAGGAGAAATTGGGCCGGGGAGAAATCGAGAGGTAAAGTGGACACTGACGAGGTTATACGGTGGACCTCCTGCCAGACGGGCTGGACGATAGGGCAGGACCACCAAATTTGGAGAAGGGAGCCATCAGGGGGCTCCACATCTCCAACAGTTGTTGGGTAGAGAAGGGTTAAAACGATGAGTTCTGGATGGGGTAATGTACCAACGGGAAGCTAGCTTGTTTCCGTTTTCTTGTGTCGATACATTCAGCGAACATTTGTGGGAGTATGTAAAAA